ACCGCGAGCTCACCCACCAAATTTCGATAAACATCCATCGTCATACTGAAAAATTGTCGCGGTCTTAATATTGTTTCTGCATCAATTGATAAACACTTAATCGAAATAAAAATATAATTCGTGCAAGAAGAAAAGACTGGAAAGACAAGGTAATAGATAAACTTTTACGGTTCTATATATGCCAATGTGATTTGGTAAATTTACTTTTTGGGTGGATTATTTTTTATATCCTCCATTGCCTTGTATGCCTTTTCCAGGTTTCTACAGGCTAAAATTACTCTAGCACCTAAATAGAAATTTTAGTTAGATATATTTTATATTTTATATTCAATTTGCATACATATACACGCGAGTGTGACTTCATCTAATATCCCTTTATTAACTCATTAAAGTCCAAAAGTGTTGACTTTTGCAATGTATTTCTTATGTTCAAATGATTTTTCATGCTCCAATCCTACTTGCAATTGTTTCTTTGCTAACCTTACTGACCTAGCCATCGACTTTAATGAGAGTTCAAAAATAACATTAAATTTCTAAGATAAAACAACCAGGTCTAGAGATTAATGAAGAAAACAATCTGCGAGGAGGAAGAGCAGAGACGTGAGATTTAATTCTACGTATGAATTGCTCACAAAGCCATTTACTTTGGATGAAAAACCGCAAAATCAGTCGACAACTTTAATCATCGTTCTTTTCACACGTTAAGTATAGTATTACCTCTTGTATAAAAATCTCGGACCGCCTCCTTGCCGATGCCAGTATTTGCTCCGGTTACAATTACAGTTTTACCTTCAAGACTCACTTTGCTGGTACACATCGCATTATATAGAAACATTTCGAATTGAAGAACTTATCCAAATTTCAACTCGTATAGCTTCTACGAATTCACTTTACTGAATAAGCTATCTAATGATTAGTTCGCGTATATATAAGTTGTTTCTTTGCGAACAAAATATTTAGTAGAACGCAATAATGCACTAGAAGAATACTTAAACCACTTCAACTTTGAGATCATTTCTAAGTCAATGTTTTTACTGAGTTGACCTTGTCTTCCGACAAACAAATCACTAATAAAATCTCAGGAATGTGAATCTTATAATTCTTGTGGAGCAGCTCAAATATTGTGGAGCATTTCAAACATTGAAGGAACCTGATCAAAACTAATTTTTTGTGCATTTAGATTGATTATTATATAATCAATGTATCAGATTTGAGACTTAGGAAATTAGATTTAAAACTTGAAGTTTTAGATTTAAGACTTAAAAAAGCGTGTTGTCCATAGTATCTCATGGATGAACTCTATTGTTATGTAGTAATTATAATTTTATAAATCTAAATTGTTTTTTTGCATAACATTAGTTCACATCAGTCTTATAACTTAGTATGCTTAAATTTCCACAAGTAAAGTAAGTTCGCTTGAATGAGTATGAATATATCAACGAAAATAGATCTGAATATATATATATATATATATATATATATATATTTATTTTAATAAAGTGACTAAAAATAAATGCGCTCGTCTAATAATAACTTAATAAATAGAGTATTGTCTAGATTCTTTCAGTGTTGAGTCCCCAACAAGAATGATAAGATTTACACTCCTGAAATTGAACACCGCGCATGTTAATTACATCTCTTGCCAAGATTAGAATATTTTTAGATTAACCCCTTGACCTACACGCTATCTCCCGATTGCTCGGGCCACAGTCTCGGCCAGGTTCGTCTTGTTTACGTTTGGTCCGAACGAAGTACCACAAGTCAGACTCGTGCTTATTGTTTATGGACCAAATTCCTTACCACGAGTCTCACTTGTAGGCCAAAGGGTTAAAGTATTGTCTTATATCTTTTATTTCCTATCTTCTATTTAATAAACAAAGTTATAAATTGAAACTTAAATTAATAGGTTTAAAAAGACACATGTCATTAAATATAAATAAGAATGCTCTCTATAAATTCTGCTAAGAGAGCATAATTATTATAACTATAGGAGACAAGAATCGATTGCACAAGCCAAGCCAGAAGTGGATGTGTCAAATCTGTTGATAATCTCCTGCCATCTCGCGGCGTGATGCTAGACCTTGAAGCATATATGAGGAGACATATATGGATGAGGAAGTCAATACGAGGAAATGTAATGTTCTGAAGTGCGCATTCCGCTTGCAATATTCGATATTACCGGAAGATCGTTGACACTCAAATAATTCGCAAGCCGCGAACTCCCGGTGCCGCGAGGCCTCGCTTTATTTCGCACGCTAATTGAAAACGTTCGTACTTCAAAGCGTTCTTCCGCGTGTGAATGCCGGTGCAACATTAATTTGTCGACGACGCGTGCAGAGCAGTTTTCCGTCGGGCGGATCGCGCCGATGCTCCTAATGCGAGGGAAAACACGCGCTTGACAGGACACACCGAGGTCCGCGCCATCAGCTGCAAATTGCTTCTGAATCGCAGATCACAATAGCGCCCTTCTAACTTTAACGAGGATTATCACGACATTCGCTCGCCTTTCGGCCTATTGTCATATTCGTTCTTCCTCTTTCACTCTATCTCTCGCTTCGTCTCTCTTTCTCTCCCCCCTCTCTCTCTCTCTCTCTCACACACACACACCCACACACACACATAGCTTCTGCCGCTTCCCGCTGCCACGTTGATTCTTTTCTTTTTTTTTTCCAAATGCATCAGTTTGAATTTCTGTTCTGCATTAATACACAACGCGCCCTTCTCCCCCCCCCCCCCCCCCCCCCCCCCCCCCCCCCCCCCCCCCCCCCCCCCCCCCCCCCCCCCCCCCCCCCCCCCCCCCCCCCCCCCCCCCCCCCCCCC